CTGGCAGTTTCCACCAAAGAATATGAATAAATTTGTTAATTTTTTCCTCAGGTATTACAGTGCCTAAGGCAGGAAGACCTCATGGTCCTTCCCTCCTTGGACATGGCAGCAATTAGTTTCCAGCCCAGACCTAGTGCTGAGTGTTCTGTGCACCTGAAATCCCACCTGGGGAAGGTGGCAGGAGGGGCACACTCCTCTCCACTGCCTGAGTGGAACACTCAGAACACTGAGAGTTCTCCTTCTTCAGCCACACACGGGGAGCCCTTTTCCTGCACACTTGGCAGGGGTGGGCATGGAAAACCGAGGTGCAGAAATTTGAGTCCAGTCCCAGGTTTCCCCAAAGGCCATCCCAGCTGCCTCTTTACAAGACCAATGTCTCACTGTGTTTTTGATGTCTCCAGAAAACATTGTGACAAACATATACAAAAAGAACTTGTTATTTCACACCTTTAGAGTCATCACAAAGGATTTCTGGTTTACAACTTCTCCATTATCTTGCTGTATTTATATTGGGAGGAAAAGGCCCTTTTTTCTATAGAGGGAAAAAAAGAAAAAAAACAACACTGCAATGATTAAAAACCCCTTTAAACTCCCATCATAGAAAGTATTCCAGAGACATTTTTTACAGCAAAATAGCTCATTTCTCCTGCACAAGACAAAGCCATATAGAAAACAATAGTATTCTGCCTTTTGAGGCATCTTGTATTTTTTGACAGTGTTAGCCCACAGCCTTTGATTAGATAAAGGCCTTAATATTGCATTACAGCAGAATTACCAACATTATGGCAGCTGCTTGTTGCAATTGTGTTGACATGACTGGCTTCTTGTGTGAATGTATTCTGGTCTTTCTAATCTCTTTAGCATCAGCAGCAGGACATTTTATTTGCAATTGATTTTTAAATTTAGGAGTAATTGAAGTTTAAGTGCAGTTACCTTCTTGCACAGGGACAGGTTGATACTGTTTAAATCCTAATTATGCACTGATTAAAAGTGATTGCATTGCCAAAGTGTGCAAGGGCTGCAATTTTTTTCATTCTTAAAGGCTCAGCATAGAGAATTAATTGTATTTCCAGGAAAAAAGATCAAGAAAAGGAAGGAATAAAGAGGAAGCAATTAAGAGTTCATTGTTGAATCATAAATTGCCTGATGATTTTTGGAAGGTAGAGAAGGTAGACTTAACTTTGAAAGCAGATCTTGTTGACAATGAGGATTAGTCATTTAATGATTTTGGTACTTGATGGTAGAAGCTTTACCTACCATCACTCATACTAAATTTTGCTAAAACAGGTAAGGCAAAAATGGGCTTATTTTCACATAATCCAGTCTTGTAGTGATCTGGTGTTTGCTTTGTTTTCAAATTTAATAATGAAATGACAGCCTGCAAATTGTTCTCATATAATGAGTAGGGTAAACAAAACCACTCACACTTTTCTTATGAGCAGGAGTCATTTCATAAGCACTATAAAAAATAAGAAAGCATGAGGGAAACAGAGCAGCAACATTTATTTAGACACAAGTTATGTTTGTATAGTGGGTTCTCATTGATGAAATATCAGCATCCCCAGTGTGCAAAGGCAGTACATGCCTGCACCATGGAGGCAGTTTAAAGGGTTTTTTTAAGGTTTCCTTTCCTCTTCCTTTCTCTATAGAAAACTCTGGACTGATCAATTCCTACCAGCCTGTTACTAGCAGGAAAATGTTCAGTCCTGGCCAAGAGAATTGGCAAACAGAATTTGCAGGGTGCCCTGGCTCAGCTCACCACTCCTTCAGACAAGTGTCTGATCACTGCTGATTCCCCAGGAGACAGGGAACTCCATTCTTTTCCTCAGGCTTTAAGAAATCTCCCATTATTTCACTGCCAGTGCAGAGAACAGTGCCACAGCTCTGCTAGGCTTCACTAAGGTAGCAGTTAGCAGTAATTGTTAATACTGATGGTATTCACAATTACTACTAATAATCAGTCTTACCCAGAACTCCAGAAAAGCACACTCACACAGTTTATCCACACATTCCTCCATCTGGGATATGAAGCTGTATGGGGTGGTTCCAATGGGTAGAACAAGTGGTCACTGGGAGAACACTGTGGTACAGGAACTGTGAATTCCACAGTCTTCTTCATACCACTTAACCAAATGATGGATACAGCCAGTTCCCATTTCGGTGATCACGGAGAAAGGTTCCAGTTCAAGTTTGTTTTTAGCCTGAAAGCAAGGCTCACACATTACTCTCTGTGTCACTGAACTACTTTTGAACCCTTTTAGCCTATGTGTTCCCAGTGTAGCAGAGGAGATGAGTTGCCAAAATAACTTAGTTTCCATACAATTTGCAAGTTCAGTCAAAAACAGCAACCCAGATTTCATCAGCACCATTTTTTCTTCTATAAGGAAAAAGCTGAGAAAAACAGCAGAGGAGAACTTTATGATTACTTAAGGAGAATGTAGAAAATCTGGTTTGTTTTCTTTTTCATTTGTAATCTATTCACTGGGAGATACACATCCCTAACAAAGGAGACACACAGAAGCTGTGGATGCCTCATTGCTGCAAGTGTTCAAGGACAGGTTGCATGAGGCTCTGAGCATCCTGTAAGATGTACATCCAGAAGCATTCTTTTTATCTTAAACTTGTCAATAAGTAGTGAAATCAGACACAGGGGTTTGGGTCAAAAGGAAAATTCTGGATTATGGACTAAGGTAAATCTTGACTCATAGTAATAATGTGAAAAGCCATTATCAAAAGGTGTGTAGCCTTAACTGAAATGTTAGATTTACAAGGGTGAGTGCATAGCAATTCCACTGCAATAAAAAGCTGATCCAAAAGGTGAATAGTTAAATAGCATTTAACAATAGTTCTTCAAGAAGCCATTGTCATTTTGGGTGACTCTCTGAAAGTCAGTGGATTGTCTTCAGGCACATCCTGGTTGTATTGAAGAGAAGCCATTGGTAATTCTGAATTCTGGTCATGAGTTTAGGCAGCAATTTCTGTCTCCTTAGTGACATTCTATTGTGGTTGAAACATAAACAATTTCAATGGCTCTACTCAATACTTGCTTACTGTCTGTAGTATGATTTTTCCTAAACCTTTCCTGAACCACAATGATCACCTGGGGAGCTCTGAGAGCAGTCCATCCTGGGTATTGGCCTAGGATATAACAAAATAAAAATGACTTCGCTATAATTCCTTTTATGTGCATTGGTTTCTCAATTACATGATTTATAGAGTCTTTCAGGCTCAATTGCTGCATTTGAGGGGATGCAGGATAGGTGGTGTGTAAGCCTGAATGTCTTCAGGGAATACTGTTCCAAAGCCCAGAGAAATAAGTTGACTTTTTTTCTTTTTCCACTGTCTTCAGTGGGATTTGTGCAGGTTCAGAGGACATTTACAGGTTGCAGAGTATTGAATTAGAATCATGGAAGTGTTAATGTGTAATATATGCAAAATAATAGAATGTTGGTTAGAAATCAATATTGCCATTTGTCTTATGCAAAAGTCATAGAAATGTGCTACTCCTGGGATTTAATGCAGAGTTAATATTAAAAAAACCCCAGGGCTAATGTTTTTCTGAGCTCCAAGAATTAAAAGGTTTCTAAAACTAATATAAACCTTTCACAACCCCTTTTTTTCCCATGTTGTAAATGGATGAAAAGTCTGCAAGTGTAACTGAAGTTGTTATGTTTGCATGAATATTTTACAATCTATAAACAAGACCTTTACTTTGTAAGCAACTTCTGTATGGAAAAAAAATCCATTTCCCATAAAGGATTCACAAGAAGAACTGTATGTTCAAAATGTACTTTCTATTTATTTCACCTCATTTGGTTGTCTGAGCAACTTCCTTTTCAGGAAAGAGGATAACTGAAAACATCTGCTTACTTATTCAATATTTTCTTTAACATCTTGAATTTCAGTAATAAGGAGATAAACTTGACTCAGCCTAATCTAAGGATGGATAAAGACTTTTGATACAGTTGTTAAACTTTCCACTGCTTCAGAGCCAACATAACATAACAACAGAGATGTTTCCCACATCCCTTTCTGCATCAGATTTTTCTCCTAACTTGTGGCTAGAATATTATGAAGGCTTCAGCAAACATGGCTAAATCTATTAAAGAGAATGATCTAAGGTCATGGTACCAGTATTATTTTCTGATGAAGAAGCTTCTCTTTTCAAGCAGTTGTGGGCACTGACCTGATGTCCAGTGGAGGGGTCAGTCTGGCAACCTTTTGCAATCTTCCTTCTTATTCAAAAGCCTTTATTTCTGTTTGGAGAATCTGTTTCCTGTTAAAATGTTTGAGTAACCAAGTATAGCTTATTTCAATATTGCCACTCACCCACCAAATGTTTGCAGAACATTTGTGGATTTCCCAAGACATTCCTGAATTGATGGTGGTCTCCCATGATTTCCAGGAAAATGCATACAACTGTGACAAGTCAGATACCTTGGATTTACAAGAACAGAGATCATCAATGGTTTTGAAATATGAATAGACATTTCCAAGTTTCTTGGAAAATAAAGCCAAAGCAGCATTTTATTTTGATGGTAGGAGGAAACACTCTACTGAGCCTGTTTGATCTTTTTTTGATATCTGAGTCCATATGGGATTAAATGAGAAAGACAAGGTCCTGTTCTACATTTTTATTACAGTATTACAAAATACTATATTTTATACAGATGAATACAAAGGCTTGTCCCAAATGTTTTACTGTAGGATCTCTTTCTCCAGATTTTTCCTATCACAATACAACCTAGATAAGCAGACTGTATTAACCATTTATTTTTCACTTTTAAACTGCTTGTGACTGCATCAACTATTTGTCTTCTTTCAATTATGTCTTTCTGGTTTTTGATTCAAAAGAAAATTTGACTCAGTCAAAAAGGTGCTTATGAATTGTTAAATCTTACAAAGAATGTTTTTCTGCTACAGGTGAATTTAATCTCCAATCCTCCAGGTGAATTTAATCCCAAATCAAATCCCTGCTCCCTGCAACCACCTGCAGAGAATTGAACCAGTTTAAAAGTCTTGTAGTATGTTTAATTTTTGTTTTTGGGGTGGTGTGTTATTGTGTGTAGGTGCTGTGATTAGTACTTGGAGTTTAATTTCTTGTGGTGGAGCAGTCTGAGCAACAATCCTCTCTGGTTCAGCAAACGGAGGTGAGTGCTGTGAAGAGGCTCTATAATGCACTATGAAATTTGTTGTTTAATGGAAATTTTTCTCTCATAACTAGTAGTGGTTTACTGGATGTTCAGGAAAAGGTTTAACCCTGTGTCTTTTAAATGACAATTATCCCAATCCACAATCTAAAGAAGCCTAAAGAAGTGGATGCTTCTTTGTAGGCAACTTGTGGCTGGTGTTAGCTGACTTGTGGCTGGTTGCCTGAAGTTAAAACTGTGTGTTCAAAGGCTGTTCTAGATAAAGCATCCTGCTTCATGCAAACATGAGACTCAATCAGTGTCTTGGAGACAGTCTTCCTTTCATCACTTTCTGAAAAAAAAACAAACCACAAAAAAATAGATTTGAAAGTCTTGCTTTCTTTATTTTTAGGATTGGTGGCCAGTTATCCATTTACATACTTTTTTTCTGAAGTCAGCACAAAACCTTCCATAGCTCTTGGTTTTCATCCATTCCTGACTGTAGAGATGAAGTCAAAAAGAAGGAATCATGGGTCAGTGTGTTACATAGCAGAACAGAGCTTGGGAAAGGAAGCTGAGATAGCTACTCACTTGCTAAATCTAGCAGCAAATAAAATGAAGAATTCCAGCCCTATAATCTTGTAATTAAAACTTGGCAAACTGGTGGGAGATTTTATTATTATTTTTGTATTATTTTAGCAATGCAAGAAGCAGAACATCTTAATTGTCAAAATGGCCTAATAAAAAAATGTCATTTGACTTATTATTTTTAGACCAGTTTTTATTACTATATCTATGAAAAAGGTAATGAAAATATTTTGATACTTCAACCATTAAATTTATACAGGAATAAAAACACGTGATTTTATTTCAAACCATTTATGAAGAATGGGTAAACTTAGGAATAACAGTGGATCTGGACTTGAACCTCAGCTTTTGACACCACTCTTTGGAATAAAACTTCAGCTGAAACAGGGGCCAAATTCCTTTCTTCCTTATATCTATGTGTGATACACCTACAGAAAAAAGTCAAAGCAGTAAACGTATGAACTAAAACATATTTTTCTAGACAAGATCCATTAGAGAATAAAACTGGGCTCTTTATTAATTTTTTATAGTCACCTGTAGACTCAGAGGCATGTAGTTTGAAAGGTTCTTTTAGCAGATACATCTGGCTGTAACGAAGCATTTTTAGATGGGTGAGATGGTAATTTTTGTTTCTCAAAACAAGAGCAGCAGAAATCATGTTTGGTTCTGCAGATCCCTTTGGGGAAAGAGTTATTGTTGAACAATGCAGGATGGAAGTGGGGAAAGGGTTAGCAACAGTGACAGATTGGTAACAAACAAAAGAACCCTGATGATAGTTTTCACAGAAGTTTTGAATCCGCTTGATAGTGGAGGGCTTTCTTCCCTCTGCACTGCATCCTCTAAAGTAATAGCATTCCAAATTACAACTTTACAGGCAGATTTACCTTTTTTTTTATTATTAGGACACTCCATTAAAAAAGATACATTAATGTGTGAACTTACAGAACTCTCTCAGTGCATCCTATCTGCCATCATAAAAAGAGACAGCTCAGCTGTAAAAGTAGCAGTCGTGTTGTAAATTTCTTCTGCTATATCCTGCAAAGGTTATTATTCAGCTTATCCAAACTGTCTTCATTCATAAATCTGAGACTTTTAATATATGAAAAGTTATAACATTGACAGTGAATTCCTGTCTATTTTGTGGATAAAAAGGGCAGGTTACTTGCTCTAGTGCTGAGTTGACCAAGTGTTATTGTTTGTTACTATTTGTGAAATGAGTTAACTCTGGAGATAAAAGAACAAGTATCTTTCCCACCAAAAGTCACTATTAAAATTAGTGGTTTTGGTGGGGAATATGTGCAAAAGGATCAGTGATTAATTTTGCAGGAATGCCTCTGTGCTATTCTAAGTTTCCTCTCCACATGGGGTGTCCGGAGCTGGTTGACCTTTCTGAATCCTAAAGACCTTTCACACAGCTAAAGTCACAACGGAGCCAGTCAATTGACACAAAAGGTCAAGAGATGCCATTAAAGCTGGAATTGGTTAAGAATGTCTTGGAGTTCTGGGGGTTTTTTTTGAGCAAATGTTTTGTGTTGGTTTTGGGTTTTTTCCCAGCTTGACCTTGGATGGAGTTTGTCACTCAATCACAAGAGATCATAGAATGGTTTGGATTAGAAGGGACCTTAAAGATCATCTTGTTCCAGCTCCCCTGCCATGGGCAGGGACACTTCCCACTGGACCAGGGTGCTCAGAGCCTCATCCAGCCTGTCCTTGAACACTTGCAGGAATGGGGCATCCACAGCTTCTCTGGGAAACCTGTGCCAGTGCCTCACCACAATCATAGCAAAGATTTTCTCCCTAAAAGCTAATCTAAACCTACCCTATTTCATTGTTAAAGACATTGCCCCTTTTCCTATCAACCCATGACCTTTTAAAAGCCCCTCTCCATCTCATGTAGCTCCTTTAGATAATGAAAGACCTTTAATTTCTTCTCAAGCTGTCTCTTCAGGCAGAACATCCCCAATTCACTTGAAAAGCAAGCAAATTCAGGATTAGGGTGTTTGCGTAAGAAAAGAAATTCAAATTCTATGATCCAAACCAAGAATATCAAGTTGTGCTTTCTTCATTCATGCATAGCAAATAAACATCTGCAATTTATTACCTGGAAGAATTCCTGTGTCATAACCTCTGGTACTATAAAACAATTAAAAAAAAATATATCAGATGCTGAAAGGGAATGCTGCTGGAGTCAGACAATATATTGCTTTATAATTTTTTATTTATTATAGAAAAAATTATTATGGTTCCAGGCACCTCAGTGGCAAAATTCAGAGAGAGGTTACCTGTAAGATGAGTCAGGGAGAGTACAGAATTTAGGACCCAGTTCAGTTTAAATGTTGCATTTAGAAATTAAGTTGTAACTGTCTGAAATGCAGATAAAGCTGAGCAGGCACCTCCAAACGATCATTTCAATTTCTGCTAGCTTGACATAAAAAGCAATATGATCTAGAAATCTCAATTTCTCTCCACTGGTGTGGCAGCACAGAGTTTTCCACAAGGTGTCTTCTATTGTCATTAAATCTGGCTGTGGTGTTTATCAGTGTGGCTTTACAACTCTCAGAATTCAGAGGTGCACCAGGTTAAACAAAGTTTGCCTGGAAATAGCTGTGACCTCTACAGGATTACCGTAGCATTTACGGTAAGAAAAATTAAATCATCCATTTAGTCTCATTCTGGACGCAACTAATCAGAATATTTACTCCTCTGTCTTCATCTTAAATTTCATCTTGACCAGCTCATCTGGAAGATTTGTAGCATAGACTGGATCTGAGGACATGATAAATCCTTCCAGTAAGAGTAGATGGGTTTATTGATGCCAACAAATCCTTTCCAGAACATTTCAGTAACTTTTACAGAACCTGTTTATTCTTGCATCCTGGTAAATTTTGCAATGACCTCTCCTTTGCCTTGGGGTAAATGAATATAATGCCACTGTTAGTGTTTTTCATAGCAGCCACAGTAAGTCCATCCTATCATGAGTTCAAGATCTCGGGGGACTTCATTCTATTTGAATGTTTTCCATTGAACACCAGAAGGCAGAGGGAAAACATTCCTCTTTGGTAGAGGTCTGTAGATACAATAACAAGAACATTTCTACTTCAGAATCCCTTGGTTCAAAGCACTGTTTTTTGTCTTTGAAGCTTAGCTCTGTGCAGGATGTTTTCATAGTAGAGTGATGGTGAGATGAGAAGAGGGAGAAGCAGAGGTTTAAGAGTGACCCTTTGAAAATCTGAAGTTTAGGTGCTTCTAGTAACTTTAAAACAGCATCTACAAGCTTTAAGGTAGATAAAATTCAAATGTTTGTATACACAGCAAAATAGTTGTGGGTTTATTATTGGCAATGTAATACTGTCTGCCTCTTTAGAGAGGTGACCCTAAAAGCCCTATATGACTTTTCTTTCATAAAAAACCCCATCAAGTTCTCAGCCTTTATGTCTGCAGTGAAAAGATAAAAGATGCCTCAAAGTTCAGAAAAAACATGTTCTGAATCGTACATGGTTTGAGTTAAGTGCAGGGAAGGAAAGAATGCTTGGCTTGGACTTTTCATCAGAATATGCAAAATAAATAAAAGTGAAATTACTGATCCCCCTCTTCCAGATGAGGAAAAATAAGATCAGGACACTAAAATTTAGTTGCAGGAAATACCAAGGAAGTCCTGTGCCAGTGCAGTGAATAGAGTCTTTCCTTGAAGCCAGGCAAGTTTCTTGACAGCAGGGTTCCCTTGTCTGGCATGCAGGTATTTGGCAGAGACAGAGAGCAGTGTCTTGCTGGGGCTCTCAGCCACTTTCCTTGGCCCTTTAGGTGCTGGCTGGAGACTCTTTACCTGCTTTTGTAGCTCCTGTGGAAGAGCTGTATGGCTCATGCTGCAGAGATGATGTGACTAGGACCTAACTTCTGAAAAGTTTCTCTGCAAAGGGAGAATTACAATGGGAGGTGTTTGGGGATGTTTGACAATAACAGGCAGTCCAAGCATTCTTCAATAAATAACTCTAAGTAATTGGAAATTTTAGTTTCATTGGATACAGATCTCACCTTCTGGTTATGTTTTGATTAGTAGAGCAGGATTTCTCTGCTGCTCTCTCTGTTCCCCTCTCTTGCTCTACCTCCTGCCCATTTCTCTTTTGAGCCATTACCATTGGCTTATCTCCCTTGGTTTGTTTTTCTCTGCTTCTCTTTACCACAAAGAAAATGAATCCTTATTGGAATCCTATCTTTTGTTACTTTGTGCCCAGATTCAGACTGTCCCACAAAATATCACTTAAAGTGTTGTTGTCTGGAAAAAAAACCCCAACCATTTTCTTGTTTATATTTTCTGTGATGCACATAGAAATAGTTTCTTGCTTGCTGTATTCACTGGTAAATGAGTGGAAAGAACATTGACCTAGATCTAAGATATGAGAATGTGTTGGTTACAATAAAATGGGGGAATCTCTGCATTTTTTTCTCTCAAGTATTTTCTGATTTATTTCTTCCCATCCACTCCCACACAGAGCAATGGGCAAAGGTCTACAATTCGATACAAAGGGAATTTCAGTGAAACTGTTCACCTGCTCCAAGCACTTTTTTGCTGGGTTATTACTTTTTAATATTTACCCTTTACATTGCCTCCTTCTGTACTTTGACATTTAGCTTTAATCTCTGTGTAACCATAAACATCACTTTCATGCTTAGATAGGGGTCTGCCCCAGTGCTCTTGAATGAGTTACAGAGGTGAAGTGTATCACAGGAACATAGCAACCATGTCATAAGAACAGATGATGAAAACCAAACACCATCACAAGTATTTTATTTATTTATTTTTTTTTTTTAGATATTAAGATCTAACACAAAATCCCCTGAATATGAATCCAAGAGAGATTTAAACCAGAAAGAAATTCAATTCGTACAAATATCTTTTCATTGCAATTAGGCAGGGAGAGGCCTACAAGAGTCTTTTCATTTCTGGGGGGTTTGTAACAAATTATTTTAATTTCATACTTATGAGCTAACTTACATCCTGATCTTTTCTACCAGACAAAAACTGGAAAAGTAGAACTAGAGTAGATCTCAAAAGCTCAGCTATTGCAAGTTCCCTTGCTGTCAAGCAGGATCAGATGTGTCTGTGCAGGACATGGTGTTGGGGTTAAGGGAGTGAGGGTTTTGAGAGGAAAAGGCCATATTCCTATGGACAGATGCTGTGTTCACGTGCACTGTCAAAAAACCATTTTCCCTCAAAATATCATGTTCTTTTTCCCAAGTAATGGGATGTTTCAGAGAGATGTGGCCATTGTGGGGTTTTTAATACAGCCTTCAGAACACTGTCAACCCCCTTGCAGTCTGTCTGAAAAGACAGCAGGCAAGCCTTTTGCACACTCATCTTTCTCATAATCAAAACTGCTGGTGCCTGGGTGATTTTCTGGAGTGTTCCCTCCTGCAGAGATCAGCTATGTACTGCCCAAGGAAAGAGAGAAAAGATGTACTGTTAGGCTGATAAATGTTTTTGTCATATTTAATTGGGATTATCCTTTTAGCCCCTCCATTTTCCCTGTGGAGGTTAATCACTAACACACACAAAAAAGGCCTAAGCCTGGACCTGAACAGGAAATGCAAAATATTTCAGAATTACAGCAGCTAATGAGCAGCCTGATTTATCATCCACATTCCCTTTACAGTGCTTAAAGGACTTTGCCTTAAAATTATGTTAAACAAAAGCAGCCAGGGAGCATCTTATTCAACATGTATAATTAAGGCTCTATTCAGGGTTTGTTTTAGTTTTTGTTGTTGACTTTTTCTTCTTCATTCCTTGGTCTTTTGAATCTATTTTTTCCTTGAAGAATATTTCCTGCTCTGTAAGGCAACTTCTGCTGCACCACAATGTACATGATTAAGAAAACATTTATTTCCCTCCAAAATGGGAAGAACTAGAAATATCCTTTTGATGCCTTTTTATTTCCAAGCTATGCATTGCCCCTACTGTTTTTCCTCCTACTGTCATCTAATACATCATCTGCATCCAGAGATTTTCTGTTGTTCTGATATCCATGATGGTATCCAGGCCTTTAATATTTCATTGGTTTGGGCTTGGTTTTTATTTCTAGGACAAAAGACATAGATAACAGGATTTCTTCAGAGTATGATTGAGTGTTGGCCTATGGTAAGTTTTGGGCAACACAATATGTGAAAGAAATAAAGCTATTAGAAAGCTTTCTTAGCAAAGGAGAGCTATGAAGGTGATGAAGGGTATAGAGAAGAAACCATACAAGGAACCACTGAGGTCACTTGGCTTTTTCAGCCTAAACTAGAGGCTGGGGTGAGACCTCATAGCACCCTACATCTCCTTCATGATGGGGAGTGTCCGACACTGATCGCTTGGTGTCTAGTGACAGGACATGAAGCCATGTCAGGGGAGGTTTAGGTTGAAGAACAGAGAAAGGGTTTTTCCCCCAGAGGGTGGTTTGGCACAGGAACAGCCTGACAAAGCTCAACAAGTGTTTGGACAATGCTGTCAGGCACATGGTGTAACTCTGGGGGATGTCCTGTGCAGAGCTGGCAGTTGAGCTCTGTGACCCTTGTGGTCCCTGTGGGACCCTTTTCAGATTCTTTAAGCACTTTCCCCAGCTAGATCAGATTCAGACTCAATGGTCCTGCATAGTAATTTTTATTCTAATCACATCAGAAGTAACTGTATTGTCTGCAAATTTTTTTTTAAGCCCAGGTCACAAAATATGCTTCTCCACAAGCAACACCATGTGGTCAACATGTCCACCTCTCTGCATGTCTCCAGAGACACTCACCTGCCTCTGTTAGCCTTTTAGCTTAGGGTGAAACAGGGTTTCCCTGTGTTGGAATCCTGTAATTCCTAAGCCTGTGCAAATCTTCCAAGTTGTGCCTGGCCCTGTTTTTAAGCCAGCAGTGGGATGCTTCCACGACATTTTTATGGCAGATGTTGACATGTCATCATACACAACTGTCTAAAGAGATATGTTTGGATAGCTGTGTCTGTGTTTCTGTAGTGGGATGCTTGGGTTAGAACCACTGAAGTCCCTGGTTTTAAATGTTGTTGTAGCTCAGAATCAATAATTGAAAGAGTTTTGGTCCAGAACCTGTAGCGAGGCTCAGTGCATTGCTTTGGCAGCTGTATTCTCTGTGCTTTTGCTTCTAGGAAACTTCATAGCATGGTGTCCTTTCCACAACCTCCTCTCCAAATCTTACAGCCCTTTCTGAAATAGTTCTTCTATCCATGATCAGCGTAAGTTGATAAGAATTGATGCCTTTCATCATTCACTTCCTGTTGTTCCAGAACATCTCCTGAGGAGATGGCATCTGGATGTCCCTTTGCAGCACAGATGACATCTTCCCTCAACAATTCTGTTATCCTGACTGCTGCTGTGATTTATCACTTATTGCTCTTGCTTCTTATGTAGTCAGATGTTGGTTTTGAATAGTAATAGATGCTGGTTTGTTGAATAGTAAACAGAAATTTCATAACAAACCAGTATTTTCAAAGCAGCATGAAAGATATATATAACATTCCTGATATGCATTAAGTTTACTACCAGTGTGCTTTCTGAGTGAAATACTGGAAATTTCCCCCAAGGCCCACTATTGAGCACTGGTGACCTCATGGATCTTTGTACACAGAGCTTGATCTGGACACCTGCCACATCAGGACTGCATTCATTGATCACTTCCATAATTTATTTGCTTTTACGGGTAAGAGATCCCTGCTTTGCTGCCAGAGGAACTGAGTAATGTACCTGGAACTGATGTTTAATATTTTTAAGACCTGAAGTCTTCCTATCCAAGAGATAACTTATTTTCTTTGTTAGCCCTCACAGCTTTCTAATAGTAAAATATTGTGTTTCTTCATTTTGATATTAAACAGATTTCTTAAGTTTTATTGTGTTATCAGCTTCATTATGTTATCAGAGCGCTTGTAGTGAATTATCTGAAATGCAGGAGTATTCCCTGCAAAATAAATACTTTCAAAAATGAAGATGAAGCAAATTAGCTAAAGGAAGCTATTGATTATGCACAGATCAGTGTTTGGTAATGCAGCGTGAAGTCAAGAATACAGTGATAAAACTTGTCTGTTTTGTTTTTTGTAGTAGGTTTTGAGGTTTTTTTAATGGGCAGGGCAGCTTCTATTATAGATGGCAGGGGTTTTTTTCAGAAAGTTTGTCATCTACTTACTTTGGAGAAAATGAAGCATAATATTTAGTAAAAGTACTGATGAATTCAACCTCAAGAGTACAAGTAGTTTTCATTTCAAGTGGGGAAACTGATCTTTCCCATCTGCTCCACTGTTCAATCATGTTTCAGTTGTCCAGAAGGGCTTGGTGGTTGGTAGTGTGGAGTGCTCTCCAGCCTGGCCTTTCTGTGGACCTGCAGGGTCTGATCTCATACAAAGCTGCAAAAAAATCAGGGGCTCAACCCTATAACTGATAAAATCCCTTGGAATAACACATCCCATCTGAGTAAAATGCTTCTGCACCAGCCTTTGGATCATATCTGTTGCTGAGGACTGACCTGTCTTCAATTCGTAACTGAAGGAAAATGAGTGTTTCTTCCCAGTCCTCTAGTGAGGTGCTCCCACAATTTAATTTATATTTTTCCTTTTTTCCTTTGCTGTGTTTGCCAATCACTTCATACCTCAATGCCTGCAGTACTGGGGCTTGCTAAACAAATAGGAATTCTATATTGACTTGTGAAGTTTCAGAAATAATACTGCTATCCATAATTCAAGCTTTAGGATATTTACCATTGTGCTTGAAGTCATATGTTACTTATCTCCAGGGGACAGAAAATAACATTTTCTTCTGAGCCATTACACTTAATAATTGAAGATCTACATGCTAAGTAAAACTTCTCTCCCTGGAAGCAAAAGCAATTCCTGCAAGCAATATATAAGGCTAAATAGGCAATGTGTCTCATTCCACTTACTCTAATGGTTCTCTGACTGAATTTTCTTAGTTTTTGCCATATGCTGAGTGGATTATGAATGTGGTTAAAACAATGGAGTAGAAAATGTTGAGCAAAACAAGCAAGTTGATTTAAAAAGAACTTAAAAATAAATCATTGTTGGGAAATGAAGTATGTTTTTCGTACAAAATCTTTTTCAAAATTTGCACTATACAATTTTGAATATCAAGTAAGAAAAAAGAAATTCCATCTCGGTGTTTAGAGGCTGGTTACGATGGGGAATGTGTTTAGTTGGTTGTGCTTATTTATACAAGGAGGGAAGGAAAATATCTTTAGTTTTAACTACAGTTCCTCATGAATGATATCAAAACATGAAATTGTCCTGTATTAGCCCATGTGAGATTAGGACTGATTTTTTATTTTTTTTTTCTGGTTTAGGAAGCTTCTTGCAAGAGTTACTACAAAAACTTAAAAGAAAAGAGGAGAGCTTTTTGTAGACTATGAACCTTGCTATCCATTTTTTTTCCAAGGCAGAGTCTTCAAGTGAAACAAACTCAAGCCAAAACCAGCATTCAGTAAGATTTTGATTCAAAACTCTGTGTTTAAAGATCTAACTTCCCATTAGGGAATAATTCTAAAACAAAAACTAATGAACTGGAGCAAGGGGGTTATGGAAAGAGTTATATAATTCCCAGGACAGTCCAGATAAGTGTGAATGCACCTGTGTGCCATGGAAACAATGTCCACCGAAGCAGAAGGTTTATGCTTAGGAAAAAAAATCACAGCCATGAATAACTATGTGTCAGCCTGGACAGAGTTCCTGACCATACTCTTGTGTAGAAATTGTGATTAAACCTTTGCAAACTTAGGTCTGTGCCTGTCATAAGAATGAGCAGCAATGTACATTTGTGAGCAAACCCTCTGCTCTATAGGTGGGTTTTTTTTTCCTGTCTTCATAAAAGCTATATTTTCAGAGTCTGAATATTTTTCTTTCTCTCTGAGTGATAGATTCAGACCATATTCATTCTGGTCTTTCCTTGTGCAGTGCAAATCAAGGTCTGGATGTTCTTGAACAGACTTCAGACCTCAAAGGGGAGGTGGAACAAAAGCAGGCTGCTTTTGCTGGAAGTGTTACTTCTTTATCTAACACCAAGATGTGTCCAAGCACACAGCAATGAAAAAGTGCAGTTATTCAAACTACACCTCTCCAAACCTGCCTGGTTTACAGCCACAGGACTTGATTTTATTTTCAATGCCACTCCAAGCTGAGTAAGATGCCCCAAGATGCAGAATGATAATGTCTAGGACTGGATTACATATCTTGTGCTGAACTCTCTTTTGCTTTATCTGAGTGCTGTCATCACCCATGTACCTTCGATGTGGCTGGGGTAGAAATGGCAGTGCTTGCTCTCCTCAGCCACCCCTGTGAGGTCAGTTTGAGGAATGTGTAATCCAAGGCACTGGTCAGTCACTGACCCCTCTCCATGGATTAGCTGAGGCTTTAGTACAGGCTGGCAGAGCTGAAGAGTGTGACTGGTCACACTGGGTGGTGGGAAGGCTGTCTGGGCAGCAGGTATCAATCAGCTTGGTTCCACTTGGCAGATAAATAAAATGAGAGGATCTCCCAGCCCAGCATTAGCAGGCACTGTTAATATGGTCAATGCTGCTCTGGAGCAGAGGTTTCCTGCACCATTTGCCAGCTCCTTCCCAAAGCAAAATTATCTCTTTTCTGGCCTGAGTCCTTCTGCCATGCTATTAATCAGTGCAGCAAGAGATTCTCTTATGCAAAAGAAACTCTGTTCTTGAAGTTTTTGGAGCTCCCACAATGAGTGGGTGACTGTCCCTCTGCTCTATGCATCGTTTTTCCTGTGACAGGGAAATATGGGAAGAAGTGCAGCAGCTGGACCCAGCCAGGCAGCTGTTGTGATAACAATCCACCCTTGGGGAAGAGGGATCCCTGGCACTGATGCCTTTCAGCATGTCAGTGTGCAAGAGCATGGGCTGGAGATAAGAAAACATCATGGGAACAGAAAATTCAGCAGAGTTTTAACTGGGAGAAAAAAAAAATCTTTTCTGAGAGGAAGAAATATAAAAGGAAACCAGCCTTCAGGGTGTTTTTCTATTGATAAGAGCACACACAAAAACATTCCAAATCTGGATTTAGGGTGAAATGTCCACTTTACTATAGACTCACAGTAAATCTCTGTGCATGTGATGCTCAGAAGTTGCCTCATTTCCATCTTGCTTTTGATCCATTCATTTCTCTTCCCTGTGTCCTGCAAACAACTCTCCAACAAGCCAGCAGCCAAATACATTCTTACATAAACTGTGTGGGTTTGAGGCCAGCACCTACCAAAGTCACTTGAGAAAGTCCCCTCCAGTTCCATGGTCATTGGATCAGATATTGACAGTGGCATTTAAAAAACAACAAAGGAATTAAGAGCCTCTCAGCTAATTAGACATGCTGGCACATGCACTGTTTCCTCCATCTGCCATCCCTCAGACAGCTATGTGGCTGAGAACAATATCTCTTGACATTCTCATGGCAGATTCCATATGGTTTCAGAAAAATTCTCTGGCCATGACTCCACTGGGCTGAGAGTTTAAACTTGTTCTAATCTTGTTGCTACATCTGACTTCACTGTTTGTCTTACCTGTGATAGTGGTTTCTTTCCAAATTCAGCAGTAGGCTGATTTTCATCAGCTTGTGCATTTCAAAGTAGCCAGACAAAAATCTGCGAGTCCAATGTCTGAATGAATTCCCCAGAGAAGGGGGAAAAAGTGGAGAATGATGGCAAAATAAGTAATGTAACTTATGGCCTGAGCTACTTCAGATTCTTACCTTCCTTCCTCTTTAAATAACTAGTCCAGTTAAAAAAACACTGGATTTGTTTACTTGGTTTCAGTTTGCATAATTAGAATCAGCTGTATCATAGAATAGTTCATAGTAATTATTAATTATGCCCATTTGGAAAACAAGTGTAGCAGGGTCTGAACATGGAAATCTGTTTATTTGGTCAGGGAGTTGCTTTTAAGACCTCTCTTACCAACCTTTTTCTGTAAGCAACGTTTGTCACAGACACAATGCAGGCAACTAACAGAAGAAAAATGCTATACTACAGTATCAAAACTCTTAGCTAAATCACACTGATTAGGTTTATTCATCAGTGCTAAAGAAACAAAATCAGACAGTAGTCTGATTAAATGGGATTCTTACAGTGATTAAAAGCTTTTTAAACTCATTTTTTGGCTCTGATTGACAAAAAAAAAAAACACTAAATAAAATACCTTCTTGGAGGAAATCCAACTTTAGTGCAAGTTGACTCAAGGGAGGCTTCTTCTGATAGCTCTGCATGAGCCACCTGCAATTACTACAAATTATCTGACTTGTTCCAAATTGTGCATCTTTGCTGAGACACTTTGTCAGGTCTCAGTTTCCATACTGAGCTTTGTCTGAGAGGAGTGATGCTGGGTTCAAGGCTGTTGTTCTAGAAAAATCTAGAAATATAATTGACATTGATTTTTCAGTACTGCTCAGGCAGCCCAAAGAGTCTTTCACTGCTTGGGTTGTTGGGGTTTTTTTGTCAGTGATTAGCCAGATTGCAGTTCTATAAAATCATTTATCTGCAGATGGGTTATGTCAGGAAATAACTAGGCTTTACAGGCATCTTCAAGGGAATCTGCAGCTCCCTAGAAATGCAACTGCAGCCCTGCCATGGAGAGTGGTACTTGAGAAGGAGTTTCATTAGGGTTTTGGGGTGGTTGTTTCTGGCATGCCAGTGGAGGTGTGAAGAGACACTGGAGGAAGACCAGATGCTTGGGATGGGGAGGGGAAGCCCTCAGCTGTTGTTCCCCTCATGAAGAGGCCAGAAGGAGGGGATGCAGTGATGGGGAATGAGAGGCTTTGTTGTGAGCATGTGAAGAGGTGTGGTGAGAGAAGAGAGACACATGCAGGCACCTGAAGGCATGAAATTTTGGTTCCTTGCCCTCAGGATGAGATCTTGTTCTCTCAGCATTGCTGTGTCTGTGTGTGACAGATGAGGGCTCTTCCAGATGGAAAAGTGTTTAGCAGCTCTGTGCTGCTGTCACTTGGGAGCAGCAATGTGAGCCTGCTGTTGGCAGCTCCCTCTGTGGGAGGCTGCTGATGGACACAACTTCAGCAACAGCCCCTGCAACCTTCCCAGGCTTCAGGAGCTCTTCTGCTCAAGCTTTATCAGCACTAGGAGCTCAAAAGGAACACAAAACCAAACTTTATTCTGCTGAATTGCAAAGGCAAGGAAGCTGTCCAGGGGTTTAACCTCTCCTGAATATCATTTAAACATCTTCTGCTGTCAGTGGAGAATTCTTCACTGAGACCAGGTGACCCTCACAATGGGGTTTATGTCACACCAATTAAATGATTGCTGCTCTCTGTGGAGCTGTTGGGGATGCTGGCTGTGGCTGTTATGGAGGACCATTTCCAGAGAGGAGGAAAAGTCAGTCCATTTTTCTTGTGCATGGAGCAGAATGTCATGCAAGCAAGTGCACATGCTGGTCTAGCCCATGCTGGAAGCTTGATCCAGGCAGGTACTGAGTTTTATTTTAATGGGTTATGTTAGCTTGAAAGAGCTAGTAAAAGTTAGAGGTAAACTAGCATGGTGATGATCACCAGCTTTCCATGGGGTCCTGCAATGCCTCTTACAGCAAAGACCTTTCATAAGGTAAATTGTGCTGTCAGGGAAAGTTGCATGGGCATGACATCACAAAAATAATAGAGGTTGTAGTGTGGTGTATCTCAGGTTAAATCTTAATCATGCACTTCTTGACACACATGCTGCTTGCACTAAAGGAGTCAATGCCCTGATTTTCTCTCTGCCTCAGCTCTGGATCTCTTTTTATTTTATTCCTTCCCCATTACCCCCCACTCCCACCTCCAATTTTATGAGCAGGGCTTTCTAGACAGTAATGTATTTAGCAAGCTGCCTCTCAAAGAGGTAAACAGAAGGAAGAAATTGCCCTTAGGCCAGCTAGCAGAGCTTTTTGTCTCTAAGTCAGAAGGCTTTAGAAGACTATTCCTACTGAGATGATAGGCTTTTAAATGGAAACCAAGGGTCATTTATGGATGGATTTCTCTGGCAATTGCACAGGGAGAAGGGTCTGTCATGTAGAGAGCCTCATTCACTTCACTGTCAGTTTATTGGCTGAAATTTGATCAGTGGAATAACTTCCACCCTCTCCACATCATCCAAAAATAGAAGAAAAATAGCAGAAATGAAGGCAAAATTAAATGCTTCCTCTTGAGTCATGGATGCTAGCAGGGATTGTTAATGGATGCAGAGGCTTTTCCCTTAAAAATTATGTTTCTTTTAATCAGGGATTGAAATCTTTCAGTTTTGTTTTACTTGTCAGTAAATCAAGCTTTCTGAAATTCTGTCTCTGAACACTGAAGGTGTCATGTAATATTTATTTCCTATGACTGGTAATTCACATCTTGGAGGCCAGATAATGAATCATAGGAAACTCACTTAAGGAGAGTTTTCTGTTGCTTTGGGATTCTTGGTTTGTTTTGTTTGGTAGTTTGTTTTGGTTTTTTTACTCAGGTTTGCATTTTTTTTTTACCAAGTGCCTGTTGAAAATACACAATGTATTTTCTATTTGTGAAGTGGACAATCAAAGGCAAAAATATAATAATAATTTGTCCAAAAGGAGTGCAATGAAGACTGGCAAGGTATGGAAATGCAGTCCAGTGGACTGCTAACCTAAACAGCAAAAATTAATTGTATCTCCTTGTGAATAGCCAGGGATATTGAAACTCTTGCCACCTTGCTTGCTTAGCTTCCAGTAAAGGCAGAGTGGCCAATGTCTGCTGCAGAAGGATAGATTTAGACAAGTGACAAAAGAAACAGGAGACTGAGTGAAAGGGCTGCTTTCAAGCAGCTCTGCCTGTGAAGAATCTATGAAGATAACTCCAGAAATCAAATACCTGCTTATGGAGCCTAATGAAATCCTTACTAGTACCATTGCAGTTTGTAATCTCTTTCTGCTATAAGGGGAAAAATAAACCCCAAATTCTCTCTTCAGGTTTGTTACCTGAACCAGAGGTAACAGCATAAATCAAAGGACAGAAAGAACCTGCAGAACATAAAGTTTTTGATGCCTAAAAAACAAGGACCATCAATTTTTGTCCTGTTTCTCTTTTATTGAGAAAAAGAGATTTAATTTTTGTTTTAGTAAAAAGCTTGTCATCTTAATCAATATGTAGTCCTCAGAGGAGGATTTCAGAAATAAACAATCAAGACACAGCAGATTTTCTTTATCAGCGTGTTAATCTGATTTTAAGAACATATGTTTCAGATTTTATATTAAGTTTTGTGGAGAATATTCTAGAAGACCAAGGACACGATATTTTATTCAAGGCCTGTTTGCACAACCCAGCCTACAGCCCCAGAGGCAGTGTCCTTGAAGTCTTCTCAAATAACGAGAATGAGGGAGAACAGTGAAGTTGTAAAGAAGGAAGAGATGATAAACCAGATGCACTAACCACAGAATGGGGAGGAGAGATTGATGTAGAGGAGTGTGCACATTTGCATGTAAAAGTAGATGTGTGTGATCAAGTTCATTTAGCCAACAGTAGTTTTGCTTAACTTGAACCCTGTAAAACCCTGTAAAAAGGTACTGATAAAGGCAATAAATGAAGTTCACTCTTACCTCTGTGAGAATCCGTGAATATTCTGAGCGGTTTTCCTTTAAAGTTTATATTTCAAATTCAAGTATTTCTGATAACTTCTTCTGCATTTCAACTTCCATGTTCAAAATGCTATTGTTTCAGCCAGTGAGCCAATGTTATTTTCAGGTTTCATATCAAAATGTCTAAGGACATCTGAACCTCTGTTTTGTTTTTGCAGTTAGTCTTGAAATTATTTTCATTTAATCTCACTAGAAGAGATGCTGAGATTTTTCTCTTCCAGGTGTGGTTTTCACACCTGGTTACATCCTGAATAACAAAACAACACAACCTTTCTGTCAAGGTCTGTATAAAATGATCATGGATCAGACTAAAATTTTTCTTCAAAGTTCCCCTATGACTGAAGCAAAAGATGAATTTTTAATATCTATCTGCCCATCTGAACATATTATTTTCTTAATTTCTTTTATTGATTTTCTTTTTATTACCAACAACAACAAAAAAATCACCAAGTTTTGCCTTTGGCTTTCAGGAGAATGGATGTTTGCTCTGTACTTCAGGAACAGAAATAATGAACAGAAAAACAAAACAAAGCAAATGTAAATGGTCCTGGCTGGAATTGTCAGGAGAACCAGGTAATCTATATATCCCTTAAGCATGGTTTTATATTAATTTGAGCTCAGAGATACTATAAGGCTTTACTGCATGATGGCTGCTTGGATGCTATGTTTTAAAATACAGCACTGATCTCATTCCATTGTTTGCTATATTGTATATTACTGGTCTAGAGCAAAAATCACCCTTAATTGACACATATTACATTGTGAACTTAATATTTAGAGGGCAATGCAGAGAGTATTGTTGCTGCTGTCTTGGCTGTATTTGCTCTATTTGAGCCAAATCTTTTTTAAAAAGCCTGTAAGGTTAGTATCAGACTTTCTCTGGAGGATCTCTCAGATAAGACCTATAAAATGAAAAATGCTTGTGCAGCCTCAAGGAGAAGTCAAAAATACTTTTAGCCAATTATCTGTTCTAAGGGGAGACTGATCAGGATGCACAAGGGTTTGGTACACTGTCCATTCAATCTGGTTTTTTCCTGGGAACTGATTAGTACGTATGTTATCTGGCAACATCTGAAACAACAGTGAAGCATCAATCCGTAGAAACAGCCTTGAAAGCCTGATCTACCGAACCTGATGAATTTTGTCACTCTTGTAACTGAGACTAGCTTTAGGTCAGACTCTCAATCATTTTTCTTCATCAGTCCTCTCTTTCCAGAATTGTGATAGAAGTTTGATAATTTTTATTGGTTGTTCTTCCATGGAGGGAAATAGAAGACAGGTACCTCTGTGTTCTGGGCTGAGTCTCAATCTCTAGCTCTGGATGGTCATCCTGCTACAAACCCAGACATTAATTTTCTGACTGTTCAGCACAGATAATCCACATCAGTTTCTTTAATGTTACCTTATCTTATCCTATTTTCTCAGAATAAGGAATTCTGTCTGTCCTTTAGGCAATATACTCCTATTCTGTGCTCTTCCAGTCTACACTTATTTTTAATAGGCTTCTGAAAATCAAATTATTATGAACATTTTAAAGAAACTATTAAGTAGTTCCAAACCTAAATCAGTGCTTTAGATAGACAAGATTATCTGTAATTTCAGCAGCTGTGTCCTAGCCCCAATTAAATGGGAATGTAAATAACAAAATGTTATGTGAGGAGCTATAAGTCAGGAAATGCAAGAACCAGGAATTTTTCTTAAGCCAGACACAATTTCCATCTAATATGTGCGTAAATATGTGTGTGTGCATGTGTGTGTATACATATCTTTCTATATATATTTGGCAGAATTCTGTATTTCACTACAGATAGAAAAGTTCTTCCTGAAAAGGCAGACTGGTTCTTGTCTGTCCCCAGCAGAAGTTGATTGTGTTGGCACCCTTACAGGAGCCTTGGCAAAGTGCAGAGGGCAGCTGGAGTTGAGAGCCAAGTTAGGAGTGTTTAACTCCATGAGCTCACAGTTGTCAAATGATGATAAAAACACTGCTTAGTGCTGGGAGTTGTGCAGCTTAGCAGGAAGCTGTGAGGTGTCAGAGTTGGGATTGTGCAGAATGAAGGGCAATTTTTCTTAAATTTGAAAGTGTTGCTAAAACATGCCAGGGACAAGAAAAGTGTTTGTGTGTGTATCTCTACCTGTGTTGTTTTGCTTGTGTGTGTGCCACTTCAGAGCCCAGGAGAGGTGCTGATTTGACAGCCACAGTGCCTGAACACACTGATTCACTGATTACCTGCTGAACCTGCCCAGAGCTGGCAGCAACAGGACAAGTTTCAATGCGCCTGGAAGGGCCATTCTCCAGCCCAGTCTCTCTCTACCCAACAGGAGCCAGACTTTCTCAGGCTCTTTGCTCTCTTTCAGGCACTCAACAGCTTTGCATTCAATGTGCCAAAAGCTTCTGAGAATCTGGCTACTGATTCTGGAAAACTGAAACCTGCCCATGAGATCTGGGAGTCCTGTTATTGGATACCTTACTGGCATGGTCATTTAATGCCAGTCTTCATTGTGGTTTCACTGGTGTGAGCATATTCTCACTAACAGCAAAACTGAGAGGTGTGTTTAATTAAAGCTACAGTGCAGCCAAAATAGCCTCATGAGTGTGGTTGTGTTACGGCAGAGATGGCTGAAAACTGGATCTCAATAGCTCTTATCAGAAGACTATCAATTTCAGTTTCCTTATCATGATCCAGCTTCAACTGCAGGGCAAAAAGCTGCTGCACTTTCATAGAAAGTGTGCACTGGATGCCTTGTCACAGACAATATCAATTCCAGCACACACTTCCCCTACCCCCAAGTGATTTCTAGGCTCCAGTGAAATCTGATAAATGCATGGTTTTCCTCTTTGTGGGTGTGAAAAGAAAAGCTTATTACATCAATGCAGATTCATTCTCTGAAGTCAATGGAACATTTTCTTTCATGAGATCAGTTTTAGGTTTGACTTTTTTTACAAACCCTAATCACAGACTGAAAACTCTACCTCATAAGAAAATATTAATGGTTTTATTTAAACAACTTGAAAAATGTCTGATCCTGAAGAAAGACACATTCCCAAAGCTGCACAGAGGAGACTGTAAGAGGGCTGACATCAAACCTTTAATCATCTAACTTGCCTCAGTGCTTATGAGCATTCAACAGAAAGCCCTGCTATCAGCAATATATTTGGATTTAAAAGATTAATTCTTACTTCCTGGGTATTATGTTACCTTCCTAGCCTGCATTTGTTATGGGACAGACAGAACCTTGTTATCTTAGTGATACAATCACTGCCAAGGTTGTGGCATTACAGTGAGAAATGGATGTGAAGTATATGAAGAAGGGTTGGATTTGGGACAAATCCAGACAGTTTGCAATCTAACCCATTTTGCAGAATAGGATCTCATGAAAGTAAAAATTAAGATGAAAATGAAGCATAAGTGACTGAGCTTGTGCATTATAAATAAGTTCTTCCTTCATAAAAAAGGCAGTTAATAATATAATTACTTTTATACGTAGTCCATGAAAACACAAATTTTAAAAATTATGCAATTAAAATATCTTTAATGAGAATCAAAAATAACAAACAAATATTCATAGGCTAGATTCTTAGTTAGAGGGCTGCAGGTTTTTGACACCCCACAGTTTTGTGATACTCTGCTGAGAGCTCCTCAGGGCGGTGGAAAGAACTGCATTGTCCTGACAGAAGCATTCTGTGGCATGAAGGCTGGACCAGGAAAGTCACAGGAAAACTTGTTTTGGTACAGAAATGTGCAAAACAAGCCTTTAGCAGAACATGAAGCTGGATTTTACTGGCCATCTTCTGTTTGATGGAACCTTTCCCAATACAATTCTACAAATACAATGTACTTGTGTCTGGAAATGGTTGGTCCAGAGATTTATTGGTTGTTATTTTCCTGTTTGGAGAGGAGTCACTTTGATTTATTATTTGACAACTCTGGCAGCTACTTGTGGATATTTAAGGAGCTTTTCAGAGGCAGAGATATGTCAACAATATTTACATTTCTCCTCTATAGTTAAATGTCACTAGTTTCAGCAGGAGAAACAAATATTATTTTTGGGGTGGTTTAGATGACTGTTAATACCTTGCAAATGACTCATGAGAAATTACAATGTGCTGGGGGCAAGGAAAGCCACTCGCCCTGCAGCCACTCCAGCTGGTTCATCCTTACCATGCTCCACTGTCTGCCCAGGCTTCTGGCACTCAGAATTAAGCACAGATTTTCCATAGAAAGGTTGTCCCAGCAGTTCCTTGTCAAGACTAACCCTCTGAGACACCCTCTGATCTTGCATGAGTGCTATGCAGGTAATTCCATTAGGATAGCCAGATACACAAAGGAAAGGGAATTTTTCTGCCTTGAAGTTCAACCCAAGCTGATGGCTGCAATACCCATTCCCTCTCATACTAAATCTTGTTGCTGTGTCTTCAGTAGTGTCAGCAGTTCAAAAATGGCTCAGCTATGGCTTCCCAAGCTGCAAACATGCCAGCAGAGCCTTTCCCCATCCATTTACCTGTATTTCTGAGGTTCAGGGCAATACAAGGAGCCCACGTGAGTTTGCATGGAAATCCAGCTCCTAATCCTCACATTCTGAACAATATCTTCCTTTGAAACAAAAAAACAGGGGAGACATATCACTTGCTGGCATACACAGGCTACAGATTTAATTCTTGGAGCTGCATGTTAAAAGAGTCTCATGGAATTCCAACCATGATGCAAAAACTTCTGAACACCATTTAGCTCTTCTAAAAGTATTGGTATATAAATGATTCAAGCTGCAGTTCAGGCTGAAATTTCAGACATGAAAATTCCCAATCATAGTGACAGATATTTTGGGAAGTACTTGGGCTAAGTTTATCAGCGTTTTCATATTGCATTTGTTCAGAAAAGCCTCCAATAAATACTTCCACTATTACAGGAGTGAGAAATAAATGGGAACACCTATAAAGATGATCACAACCTCTTTGGATCCCTCATCTCATGACATCACCTGACCAGAATACCTGCAGTTTAATAGGATTTATTAGTTGCTTAACCACAGCTGTATACAGTGAAGTTTATACTCTGCTGATCACAGAAATTTGGGGGGGTTTTATAGGTGAAGATAAGGAATTCCCTTACTTTTTTATTTTTCCTTCAAACACAAATCTGACTGAAGAGCCTGGTGAATCTCAATTCTTTTCCCAAGAACCCATGAATATATGAAGATATTCAGATGTGCTGTGTGAGAACAAATATCAATGTAGATCATCTCCAGCAGTGCCCAAACCTAGCTGCCAAAGGAATAAGGCTAGGGGGAGAACAAAGATTACAGAAGAGACTGTGAAAATATGCTAGGGACTGGAAGAATATTTGAGGTAAACTTGAACTCTGAGCCTTCCTGAGTCAGATGTGGTTTTGCTGTTTTCAGTAATCCTCCATGAGTTTCTTTTTCTGTGAACTTGTCCAATCCCCTCCAATCCAACTTTTTATTTTGGAATAAGTATGAAAAAATTGGTTGGAACACCCAAGGTCTTGTGTGCTTTACATGAGGACTGAGCTTATCTGAAGAAACATGCACAAGAAAAAGATAAGTCTGACTGATGGGAAGCTCTGTTGATTCCCAGCAAACCAATTCAATGTTTGTAAGCACTGGTGATATGTAAATCTACAGAATAACAACATTTGATAGATTTGAGGGGAACAACCTCTGATCCCTCAAACACTTGCACACCAAGGGGAGGTCAAAGAGTCTGTCAGAACTGTACTTCATGGCACCTGCCTGGTTGTGAATTCTCAGCTGCTTTTGGCCTTTCTCTGCCATCTGTAAGATAAAAACAAAATTTTCACTTGACAGAGAATTATAATGATACATTATAACAGAAAATTACAATAATACATTATATCTCTTTAATGTTAATTTATTCAGTTGCTGTAAGTGCATGGACAAACAGCAAATGTTGACTTTTTTCCAAAGGAAATGGCCATAAAGTTGTCACCAGTCACACAGAAGTCCAGCTCTATCTACCTGGGAGACAAAAGAGCAGAGAGACAGAAAAAAGTGTTACCTGTTTTTTGAACTTTTTCTGCCTCTGATGACAGCTGTGACTCTTAATTAATAAAATATTCCTAAGAAATTCCTGCAAAGGTTTGTCTGGGAGGAATCATGTTTGTGGAATTCACATGTTTACAGGCTTGTCCCATAAACATTGGCAGCTCAGAAGGTTCTTTCAACTCTGAGAAATCCTTTTAACTGTGGTGTGAATTACTGGCTAGAAATTATGGTTGCTGGGTTAGTAGTAATAGTAGTATTACTATTGCTATTGTTGTTATTTTTATAATTAATATAATTCCACAGAACTATGACCAGTTTTTCTGCCTTGCTTATTCACTTTATGCCACTCATTTCTTTTCTGAAAGAAACCTTGTCTACACAACTGAGAAATATAGAAGAAAGGTTGATTATCTCCTATATAATTAATGGCAGTATTTAACAGTAATAATCTTGAAGACATCTTCTCAATAAAATGATTTTTTTTTTGTTAGAGAAGGGTGCAAATTCTGTCCTCTCTAAGATGAGTATTGATCTGACCCATAAATGTGATGTGTGCCCAAACCACAAACACCATGTACTCAGAAATTACCATCTTCCCATGGAATTTGTGGGTGTTTCTCAAAATTGCACTTCCATCTTGGAGATAGCCTCCAGAGTATATCAAATATACAGTATCAGCCTTTTTATGGCTTTTATGATGATTTCCATGAGTAATTGGTGCTCATTAACATTAAATTTGCTATAAAAATATACTTAGAGTGCATCATGAGCTGGTAGGAGAGTTTGCTGAGTTTTTATTCTTTTATGGTTCTTACATGGCACAAAAAGGTAGTGGAAATGAAAATAAAAAAAGGGTCAAGAGGCCTGGGAGTTGTTTTATTTCACAGGCTTGCAGAGCACATCTAAAGAGGAGCTATTGATGGCAGCAGTATAGAATTAAAAAGAAAGAAAGCAAAAACTTTTTATGACTCCTTGCACTGTCTCAGCCAAGAAGCCATAAATCAGTAGCAAGGTCATAGCAGTAGATCACAGAACAGGTCATTCCAACACAGGCTGAATTGAATTCTGGTGTCACCAAGGGCAGCGTTTGATTCCGCTGCTTTTCCTCAGTGTGAAGTACTCGGGGTGTCAGTGGCAGAGATGGTAGAAGACACAACAGCAGCAACCCTGTACCCCTTGAAGGTACAGTTTCTTTCTCTTTTCTTTCCCTTCTTGTTTCCTTTCTTCTGGCTGCTTCATGATCATCCACTATTTACAGGAAAAAAAAAAAGGAAGGAATGCATAGGTCTGACTAGAATGAATATCATGTTTTACTTATTTCTCTTTTCTCTTTCTTCCTTACTTCCCATATATATTTTGTTCTTTGTCTTTCTTTTCTTCCCTTCCTTATTTTTTTTCAAGCTGAAGGCTAAAATTGCAATAATTGCAACTGCATTTAGCCTAACTGGACCTTACTTCTACATAACAGCCCACCACTTCTCAGCTGAACTTCAGCTGAGTCCCCCAGTACCACCTGACACTTCTGATCTATATTTAAGGTCTCTTTGTAGCCTCTGGACTACATAGTTTCTTAAATCTCACCAGAGAAAAATGCCACCTCCTCCTTTCCCTTATGCAGTAAGTTAACATGACCTGTATTATCCTATCTCCTTCCTAATGCAGTTTTTATGGGGTACTACTATTATTTTGCTTTCATAATGTCATGTATTTTGACAGGAGCTCTAAGTCTACTTGACCTGTCTAGCCAGTTGTGTGCAACTTACTAAGGATTCAAACCTTTTGCTTGACCTTGAGAAAACACTAAACAGTTTAAAGGGGAATGTGCCCTTTTTAAAAGCCATTTTCTTCAAAGGCCTTATAGGGTCTTACTTGTTCTTCTGCATTTCTCAATCTGTATCTGCCAAGGAGAAAAAAAGTGTATTAAAAATATATATTCCCATTTTTGCCACTAAAAAATGTAGTGTTGTCTTAGGATAAAAAAAAAAAGAGGTAGAGCTCTGCACAGGCTACCCAGCAGTCTGTGGGAGAGACATTAGGAGTTCTGATTGCAACCATTACTGCCCCAATCTCCCCAGGGTGTGTCATGCAGAGTCATAAAGGAGAGCTCTCCTTGGCTCCACACCAGTGAGAGGCACAAAGCTCACACTGATCTCTCTAGGCTTGGTTGTTATGTCTGGGGCTTTGTCTATATCTTACAGGTGCTCCATGGTGAGGTTTGTTTGAACCAATTCCTCTATTTAATTACTGAGTGCTGTATTCCCTAAGGACACTGCATGGATTCAACCTGCAGTTCTTTGTAAAAATGACAAAATACTTCTACTAAATTATGCTGGTATCACCATGAACCCATAAAAGTGTAATTCCCTGATGTGGTCATGTCTGAAATATTTTCATACCTGTAACAAATTTCTAGATGTAGAACAGGCAGAACTTCATAGCATCTTTCCATAATGTCCAATGCCCAACAAATGTCCTTTTGCATCTTGGCAGGCTGCAGAGAGCAGAGTGTGAGGACAAAATACAGTTGATTTAAACCCTAGTAAAACACATTTATTTTAACTTGTTTTACTTTTCTCCAAGCCATAATAGAAGTGTTCACCTACTCAGTAAGACCCACAGGTACCTGGAAAATAATGAACAAATGAATTTTTAAAAAAAAAACCCACACAAACCAGTGGACCAAAACTAGCTACTCATCTTCTAATTGGCATTCCAGACCAAACATTGATTAATTCAGTCTCAGATCTTTCTGCCTTATGTTAGGATACTCAGCCTAGGCTAAAACATCCTTAGCATTAAATGAAATTATTTTGTTTGACTTTTCAGTGGAAGCATTTCTGCACTCAGCCAAATCTGAGGAAGCGCCTGCAAGTTGTTCAGGACTGGCTTCTACCCAAATCCTCAGGAACATCTGTGCATCCATCACCATGCTCAGAGCTCAACAATGCCTTGGTGGAAAGGGTTTTAACTCATACATTTGACTTTGCAGTGGAGGGGTCAAGACCTTCACAAACTGTAGGCTGAGGTGTGAGGGGGTTTGAGCTGCAATGTTTTATCTGCCCTAAACCAAAACTCTGCCTTGAGAGCAAACATAGACTTCACACGTGCTGATGTCTCCACTGAGGCTGCAAATTTGGGGCAATGGCAGGGGTGTCATGCAAGAACACACTCAACCCTGGAGTGCCTTAGCAGTGACATTGGCAGTGTGGAACTGGTTCCCAACCCAGGAGAGAGGAACAGAGGGACACTGGACTGTGCCAGGAGGCATTGCTTGCTGGCTGGGAAGGCACTCAGATACCAGAGAGCTGAAGGGTAAGATGAGAGAATCTGCATGAAAGAGACTACAATATGAGAGAAAAATGAGGCTGTCACATTAAATTGCTATCCCTGGGTATCTGAATTAACACATCATTGAAACAAATTATACAGTTCCCTCAAGAGTTCTTGCCCAGCCCTTTGCAGACACACAAAAAACATTACAACTTTTATCTTCAGCTCACACTGAGAGGTTCATCTTCACCATGGTTACCCTCTAGCCAATTTTGTTGGGTTTTTTTAATCAAAGAGTGAGGAAAAAAATGGAGTTTCAAATAAGAGTTTTATCAGCACTGCCCACCATTGTATGTTCCTCACCTACCCTGCCTTGCTTGCACGTGTCAGTGGACAGCAGCAAGCAGAGTTTTTCCTGATAGATGAGGAATCAGGTAAATGCCTGTGCTAGATGTCAGAGTACAATTCCTCATGGCTGCCTAGAACTTCAATAAAAATTTTCACATCCATCCTCAGGGATACAGAGCAATGCAATCATGAATGATTGATATTCAGCCTGCTACAATACTCTGGCTCAGTATCAGCCTTTGAAATAGGTTACATAAAATAACCACATTTCAAGAGCAGTCAGGCCAGGGTTTGTTTTTTGTGTTTTTTTTGGTTTTTTGCTGGTTGTGGTGTTGCCATTGGTTTTTGATAAAGCAGGTGAGGCACATGGTGAAAGCCAGTGCATGTCAGGCACACACCTGAAACTGTGTGCTTCAAATTTTAACTTGCCTTGATGATCGTGGAGTGTAATAAATTAGTGTTCTTAAGAAATGGATTCGTATGATCCTATACACAAACATGCTTAATTTCATTACATGGCATCAACAATGCCCTTGCCACTTTCCTGTGCTGTTGGCTGTGTCAAAAAAAAAAAAAAAGACACATTTGTGGGGATTGTTGAATTGTGATGGGAGGTTTGTTTGACTATCAATTTATTTATATAAATGATCTGGTCTTTTTTGCTGAGAAAGACAGAGGTGGTGTAAGTTATGTTTCCTGTGGCAGAAACTCCCCCAAGAAGGTTGAAGAGAGACTGATCTGTGCTTTTTTAGGTCCTTTGCAAACC